CGAGATTAAATGATTTTGGGGCTTATTTCTGGGTTATTTTGGGCTCTAAGGGTCTTATATAAAAGGAGAATTGGACCACTTTGTAAATGGTTAGCCATTATTTCATTTAGTTAGATAATTTTAGATATTTTTAGAGAGAGAAAGTTAGAGATACACATTGGGGTTTTGAAGTGGAGGCAAGAAAATCTCTAGATCTCTAGGGTTTTAAGCAAGAAAATCAAGAGGAAAAAGATGAAGCCATGTTTGGGGATTGCCTTTGAGGGTTCCATGACCATATCCACCTCCTCTATGCGTGGCTAAACTTCTCCTTAGGGCTTGGATGAGCCCTAAGCTTGTAATCTAAACCCTTGTTTTTCATCTTTTTGGGGAATTAATATTGTAATTGATGCTATAGCCTTGTGTATATAATGAAATTTTGGTTTTCCTATGATTTCTATTGTTAAATTCTTCCTAATAATTCTCTATGTTGATTGCTTGTCTATGTGTGATTAATTGAGGATTTAGTGATGGCTATGTATGGTTTTCATTATATGCGTTTGTTAATTAATTTGATAGATTATGCTTATACTTAATGAATTGCACCACACCTTTAGTTTTATTGTCTTAGCTTAATTGTAGTTTAATTACATTTCAATTCTAGTTAGGTAGACAATCCATGCTTGAATTTATTAATTCATGCCTATTGTTGAAATTTGCATTATTCTCTTGATTGATGTGTGCATTAATTCGATACATTTGCTAACTAGTTTGGTGGGCTATAGTCATGATGGGTTGTTTTACACCTTAGTTTACTTATTGTTAGGTAGATAATTCATACATTGATTTTGATAGTTCATACTTATTATATGCATCATTGTACTAATAATTGTAGCTACATCTTGATTAATGTGTGCTCTTGTTAGATACACTTGGTTAATTACTTTGATGGGTTATGCCTCATCATGATGGGTTGTTTTACACCTTAGTTTACTTGTTATTAGGTAGACAATTCATACTTGAATTAGATAATCCCATGCTTATAATTACAAGTTGTACTAATGATTGTAGCTACATTTAGATTACAATAATGTTTTTCCCAATTAGTTGAATAGATGTGGTTTAGTGAATGAGCTTAGCAGTGATTCCACGCCCTAAGATTCCTCTCCTATCTCTCAAACTCTACTCATTTTAGCTTAAATCACATTGCATATTTTAATTTGATAATTAGTTTAACAGACCAAACCAACTCTCTTTACAATCTCATAAGCACTAAAGTTCAATTTGATTTTAGCACGTGTTCAATCTCTTGGGACGATCCCTTCTTACTATACTTCATTGTATTAGTGTTAAGTTGTTTTTATAAATATTAAAAGGTGATGCATTACTATAATATTAATGAGCTTGGTGGTGATTCCAACACCCTAAGACCTCTCTTCCTATTATTCAAACCCTAACTCACTTTAGTTTACTTTAATTGCATTTTCATTTAATTGAACTTTAGAGTAATCAACTAACCAAACCTTTCTTTGTAATCTTGTGAATCACTAGAGTCAAAGTTAGATTTTAATTGCGTGTTTAATCCCAACGGATGATCCCTACTCGCTATACTTCATTAGTAGTAGTAGTGGTTTTATAAATGTAAATTTGACTTTTAAAGCTTCCAAAACCACATTCATATTTTGACATTATGAAGCGACCTCTCACATAAAAGTGGTACACGCTAAGGGCCATGTCAAATTTTAGCGCTGTTGCCAGGAATTAACGATTTTGTTGGAATTAAACTAGACAATAGTGTTCATTTGATTACTTCTTATTTTTGTTTCTTTATTTTTATTTTATTTCTTTCTCATTTTCTCTTCTATGTTCAATTAGGTACTTGACTACAAGGAAAGCAAGCTTTGGATTCCGACGTTGTTGCTTGGGACCTTTGTGAGCAATTCTTGAAACTCTTGTAACTTAATTGTTCATTACTATATGCTTGAGAGATAGCCCTTGTCGAATTTTTAGATCTATGTTTTGGGGACCATTACACCCCTTCTCCTTATGACCCTCCATCAAATTATAATCCATATGAAATTGAGTCCAATGCACTACAAACATCATGATCTTATTATGGACTTGATCACTCTTATGATCTTCCTTATAACTACTACCCCTACCATTCTATATATGATGAACCAACTCCATCACCTTCTAGGTACTCGCCCGGATTTGAAGATAAAATGTTAGCTCTACTTGATACTCGCCCGGATTTGAGCAAATTACAAGTACTCTATCTCGTTAAAAGGAAAAGGAAGTGGCAAGTGAGCAAACACCAAGTACTTTATCTTTTATAGAGGGGGAAGTGGTGAATCCACCAATGGCCAATCTAATAGAGCACAACATGATTTATGAGGACATTCCTTGTAATTTGGATTATGAAGTCATTGAGGCCACCTTAGAGAGTGAGGAGACGGTGATTCATGTAGAGGAAGAGAAAAGAGATGAAGAGAGTGTGTTTCCTAATAATCCAATTGAGTCTTTGAAAGACAATGCCTTACCAATTAACAAATGAAGTAATTCTTTGAATATATTGCAAGAGCATAAAAAAGATGTAAGGCCGCTCATTATTTGTTTTATTTTCAAAACTGTGGATGAAAGGAAAAATGTCACGCATTCCATTTATGTTCAAATTATTCCTTGGGGAAATGATTTCATTGTTGTAAGTGAGGCGGTAATGGATAAAATTGACAAGAGGGTAAAAAAAGATGTTTTATATCTGATTTTTGATACTTTTGACTAGTAAGTCACCCCAACGTCTTGTTAGAGACGTTAAACACTAGTTTCGTAGAGTTTCCAAACTCTATTCCTCCCTCATTTTTTTTTTTTTTTTTTTTTTTTTTTTTTTTTTTTTTTTTTACCTTCTTGCATCGTTTAGATAATTCCATTGTGCTCCATTGAAAAATTTCAAACATTTAGTGCCTTTGTAAAACTTTGCCTTAGAAAAATTCCAAAAAATTTCAAAATTTCGGCATTTTTGGTGCCCATGAGGCAGTTACAATTGATTGTAAAAATTCACGATCGATCTTAATTCATCACGATCGATCGTGATTTGCAGACACTCATTTGGCCTAAGTTTTAGTTATCGGTGTCTCAGGTGCGATCGATTGCACTTGAGTTGCGATCGATCGCACTTGAGTTGCAATCGATCATAACATGGTGCGATTGATTGCACCTGCACCCATTCCATTCGACTTGAAAATCATCCAAGGGTACGATCGATCGTACCTGTTCTATTCGTTATTTTTCTTACATTTTTAATTACGCGTATTTTTACTTCATTGTCTCTTATTTTCATTATGTACATACATGTTTTTCAACCAAAAAAAAAAAAAAAAGAAATAAAAAAAGAATAAAGAATAAAGAAAATGGTGACTTGTTCTCATATATCTCTTTCATATTGTTCTATATTGCCTTAGAATGTATGTTTTGCTCTTTTTCATCCCACTGTGATATTTGATTTGAGTTTGCTAGTGTGGTTATTCAAAAAGGTTTTTGATTCTAAGTTTGGGGGTGCCTCGACTACGATCGATTGTACTGACTCTTCACATTTTTGGGACCCACTTCTCCTTTGGCTGCTTGAATTTTAAACCCTAAGGCTATGTTTGGTACGGTGGGAAAGAAAAGAAAGGATAACATTAGTTATGAGGGGAGGGAAAGGAAAGGAAAGGGAAAGGAAGGATAATTTTAACCCTCTATCGTATTTGGTTGATTAATGAAAGAAAAGAAAAGAAATGATAATAATCATGTTTGGTAAAAGAAAGGAAAAGAAACTGTTTTAATAAATTTACTATTATACCCTTTTGGGGTAAAGCTCAAGAACAAAACCGTGCGGGCTTAAGCCCAAAGCGGACGATATCATACAATGTGGTGGAGTGGGCCATTACAAATGGTATAAGAGCCTGACCCAGCCGGAAGTGTGCCGATGGGGACGTCGGGCATCCAAAGGGAGTGGATTGTGATGACCCTATGAGCGGGTGTGCCGTGGGCTGATGCAAGACACTGGCAGGCTACCACACTGGCGAGCTACAGGTGCATAATCCCACATCGCCTGGGTAAGGGAGAGGTGAAGTGCTAATATGTAGATGTGTTAATCCAATTAGTATAAGGCCTTTTGGGATAAAGCCCAATAGCATAACTGTGCGGGCTTAGGCCCAAAACAAACAATATCATACCATGTGGTGGAGTGAGCCATTACGAATTATTTATAAATTTAATTATCTAATTTAGAGGCCCATGGATGATGGGCCACCAGAAAAAAAAAAAAATATTTTTAGGGCAAATCATTTCAGCCTCCCTAATTGCCTCCATCTCTATTCTCGTTCTCACTGAACTTGCCCCCACCCTCTCTCTCTCTCTCTCTGCAACTGCAAACTACAAAATCTACAAGAATCAGAAGTTCAAAACCCATATATTTCAGTTTATCTATCTATCTGCAAGAATCAAAAGTTTAAAACCCATATCGGCATATCATTTCAGATTGTTCAAAAAATCAAAACCCATATCTTTCAGTTTCCATCGCTCGCTGTTTCAATTCGGGTTTGCTATTCGCAAGCTTCAGCCGTTGTCTCTCAACTCTCAAGCTTGCCCCCCACTCTCATTCGGGTTTGCTATTCGCAAGCTTCAGCCGTTGTCTCTCAACTCTCAAGCTTGCCCCCCACTCTCTTTGCAACTGCTAACTTGTATTTATGGGTTTTGTTTTAATTTTTTTTTCTAAATCAACTAATTAAGGTTTGTGATTCTTGTTTTGCAAACTAAAATCAAGTATAATCTTGATTTTGAGTAAGGGTAAATTTAACATCAGAAATAATACATAAAATCTCTCCTTTATTTTTTTTTCTTTTATTTTCCTCCTATTTTTAGAAAGATAAAAAAATTACTATTTAAGCTTTATGTATCCTTTCAAAACAATTTCTTTCATTTTCTTTTCCTTCCTGTCATTTATGTCAATCCTTCCTGTCATTTATGTCAAACACCTCCTCCCCCCCCTCCTTTCCTCCCTTTTCCATTGCACCAAAGTGATCCTAATTTTCAAAACCCTATTTTTATTTTCTTTTCACTTTCCACTCTCTCTCGCGTCACCTCCATTTCTCTCTCCCAAAACCCTAATCCTCTCATCTCCCATCTTCCCCACCTCCAGCTCTCTCGACCTCACCACACACCATAACCACAAGCCACCACCACTCTCTCTCTCTGTTAAAGGCCATCGCCTCGCCATCTCCGGCCGAACTCAAGGCCGTCTCTGGCGAATCGCAGACCGATTCTCGGTTTCTCTCTCTCGGTCTCATCTATTCTCCCTCGGTTTCATCTCCGGTCGATTCTCGGCCAAGGGCCACTGTTCACTCTCTCCTTCTCGGATTTTCCTCTCTGCTCTTCTGTCCTCCTCGGGTAAGCTTCTCTTCTTTTCACCCTCTCATTCTCTGTGTATATATATATATATATATGAGTTATGCTTAAAAATATATGTATAAATAACAATGAATTTGACTGAGGGTTAAATGCATATGGGGACTTAGGGGGTTTAATTTGGAAATGGGAAATGCGGGATTTCAGTGTGGCCGACTATCTTTAAATCTATATATGTTGTTGCTCTGTGGGTTAATGAAACTGAGATGATAAAGGTATTTGTTGAACTGTGTTGGATTTCCTTTGAAGAAACTGTGAGACTGTGATGATGAATATAGTTTGGAAAATTGAAAAATAATTCTGTGAAGGTGTTGGGAATTTTGTTACATGTGAGTTATATCAAAGGTTTAAAAATTTGGCAAATTTGATGAGATTCTGAGAATACTTTGATTTACCCATGTGTTCATTTCTATGTTTATAAAACTTTGATGGGGCTGTGCACTTGAAACTGAGATTATGTATATATCTATGTTGCCTTGGGTTCGAAATTTGTGTTTTTGAATCTGTAATGGGCTGTGTTTGTGACTGTGATGGGTTGTAAAAATTTTGGGGATTGCTATGTAGTTTAAATTCTGAAAGTTAGATAGGGCTGTGTGTTGAGACTATATTGATAGTGATGTGTGTTATAATGTGTATTGAAAGTCTTTGATTGCACACAAGTTTAAGAAAAATTGTGATCATATATTGACATATTTATTTGTGGAGTTTCATTCTCATTTCTAGTTGAAGCTTTATTTTCTAAAAATCGATTTTGGATTGTTATTGTGAGAACAATAACAATCCTTTCTTCTTTACTTTCCATTCAATTTTTTTCCTTCCTACCGAACGGAGCATAAGAGCCATAAAGGCTTTTTTCCTCTTCCTCTTATTCTTCAAGTAATGCAAGACCTCACGAGTGATCAGAATATTTTCAGTAATAAGTTGCCCCACAACAAAGGCACTCTGGGACTCGCTGATTAGTGTATCAATAATACCCTTTAGCCTGTTAGTCATGATTTTTGAAATAATCTTATAAGCAACGTTACAAAGAGCAACAAGACGAAAGTCAGAGACCATGGTGGGAGAAGCAGTTTTAGGAATTAATGCAATATTTGTATGATTAATACAAGATAATAAATAAACAGAATGAAAGAAACTACAAACAGATCCAGTGGGTCAGACTTTCTTCATGCATGGGCCGATTTGGTTTGTGTGGCCCAAATTTTAAGAAATATAACGGAGCATCTAGCATTTTCCATTATCGTGTCCACGTTTAATATTCTCTGAGTCAAATCGCTGATTCTTTAGATTTATGTAACAATGCATTTTGTTTTGATGTGCAGACACCAAAGGAACGGTAGAGAGAAGTGGTTCACCATTCACCATGGGGTACATTTCATATTCTTTTGGCTTGATTTTAGGGTATTACAGGGTTTTTGGATGCCGTTTGATTTTTAGTAGTGTTATTTTATTTTATTTTTTCTGAATATATGCTTATTAGAGAAAAGATGATGGAAGGAGTTTGGTTGGACTATTTATTTATTTTTTTTTTGGGGGGGGGGGGGATTAACCTTCTTAATCTTATTTACCCCATATGCATATTTTGAAATATCGAAAATTTTATATATATAAGATGTTTTGTTATTTGGGTGTTTTTTGCATTTTACCCGATTATATTATGTTACTATTTCTATAAACTCTGCAATCCCTGAAACTGAAAGTGTCCTAATTCTTTCTCCACTCAAGATTCACATACACCTCCTTATTCCACCTTTTGATTTTTGTCTTCATGTTCGCTCAGATACCATTCACCTTATATCCCTCCCACCAAGACTGCACTCTACTCTAATTCCATTATCTGTTGATGCATATAACCCACAAAAAGTCCATTTCACCACCTTCATCTCATAAAAGTTTTTGTCTTTGATATGCAAAGCTGTTGAATCATCCACCTTTAAATCCATCTCCTCCTTCCACATAAGAGCTAATGCACGGCAATTTATACCCAAACCCATTAAACCACCCAAACCCGCCACTAAAATTAAATCATTTGGGTGCCCAATTTAAATAAGTGGATAATTAATGGGTAAAAAGTGGGTACCCATTATAATTGATGGGTTAAGTTGGATACCACTCAAACAAAACCCTAAGACAGACTCACCCCCTTCCCTTCTCTCTATATCTATCTATATTCACACACACAAATATATATGAACTGTATATCTCTCTCTTTTTGAAATTTTCTTTTAATATCATTGTTTGGATGCTGAGAAAGTGTAGGAAGTGCAAAGAAAATGGTACTGAAGATTTTATGTCCAATTGTTTACCTCTGGCACACTCGATGTTTCATGTTTCAAAGTTTAGATATTTTCTCTTTTTTCATCTATGTTCGTTCTTAGATCTGATAGTTGTTGTTCGTTCTGATATTTTCTCGAATATATATTTTTATTATGTTTATATGATTGCAATATGCTGTTGGTAGATGAAATTGGCTTTTGACTGTATATGTTATGGTGAGAAATGCTTTAGCGCTCTGTTTGGTTGGAAAGAAAATGCAGGGAGAAAAAATTTAGACTTTGATTTTAGATACTGATGGGAGCTTCTTTTTTTTTTTTCTTTTGAACTCATTTCTATACTGATGGAAAAAAAATTATTAGTTTAATATTTTAGTTTTGGCCTGGACTGTATACAGTCTGGCCCAGTTTTGGTTTAGGGATGCAGCGGATGCTATTTGTTAATTTTAGCAAATTCTAACTTGAGTTATATGGGTGGTAATTAGGAAAAAAAAGAGTAAAAAGGGTGGCAGTCAATGTGTGAGGTGGTATAGGCGTTGACGTACACATTATAGATGGAAAAGAAAAGTGTTACTTGACCCCGTTTGGCATCGTGACCATCCCCAAAAAAATTGAAGATCTGGAAGAACATGCAGCGCATGTGTTACTTTTGCATCAGCTTTATCGAGTGGACTCGGGTGGCTCGGGGCTATACGAAAATTTTGAAGAAGATCTATCTTCATGGCTTAAAAAGAATTCCGTAACATATGTCAACAGCCATCGGCGGCGGTTTGTACAACTAAGGAAACAAAGAAATTGATTATGTATGTTTTTTCAAATTACTTTTTTTGTTTATCTTTTAGTTTAAATATTAACAATCTAATTTTTGTTGTCAGGGGAATTTTATCGTGCGTCCTCATGCTCCATGAATGTGGATATTGTTTAATTGGAGATATAAGAAGTGAAGAAATTGGTGTAAAAAAAGGCATTCCGAAACTATCTGTCAAAACAAAAAAATGGAATAGCCAAGGAGATCAAGTCAGGGACTTATCCATTGCTGAATTAATCCGCAATCATATTTTCAAAAACACCTCCAATTTGCCATCTGATATGGATGAGTCCTGTAATCTTCTTGATGATGGAAGGCTTGATGGGTATGTTAATTTTGTGTTTTTTAACTTTTTAATTATTTTTATTTTTCTAAATAAGTTTTGTTAATATATATATATATATATTTTTTTTTCAGGGATAAATTGTACCTTTTACCTCGCCATTTTTGTTTGATGAGTCATTTGGAGCGTATTGATTTCTGTTCGAGGGTTTTGTCTGAAGTCGATTCTCTAGGTGCTGTCCATGCACAGCAAATCGTGACGGCGGTGAATGCATATGATTTCAAGATGGGGGCAGTGATTGGCGCAAGCTGATTCCACTAGGGTCAGAAGCTTATGCTGTGTACAAAATTAGGAGCTATAATGCAGACAACTGGACTCATTTGACATTTATAATGAACCTCAGGCACCGATTGGTTCCCCGGAAACTCTATGATAGTAAGAATAATGCTGTGTCTCAGTATTCTTACTTGAGTACTAAGGTATGTCTTAAATTCTCTTTTTGTTTTGTTGGAAGTCTTAATTTTTTTTTTCTTTTTAATCGAAAAGTACTATTTGTTTATATTAACAGCAACTGGGTAAGAATGCAAAGTATGTTGATGACTGCATTTCGGCTCTTTTCCCTAAATCCATGGCACGCGTGCAAGCCTTAATGAGGACAGAGCAGATACTCGAAACCTTCCTGTAAGGTTTAGACATCACGCTGACTTCCATTGTTTTGATCTGAAGCTGAAGATGACTTTTCAAGAGGAGTTTGGTTTTTTTCTTTCTTCCTTAGAGAGGAATATTTGAATATATATCCTTTTTTGAGAAGGAATGAAGCTTTCACTCCATTTGTTTTGTTTTGGGAAGGATTAAATTGTGGTGTTGAATTGAATTATTTGTTTGGATGTCCTTTCTAGGGTTATTGATTGTTCCTTATGGTTGCAGACTTTCAAATTGAGTGAAAGCTTCATTGCACAATGCTAGGCTCTCTGATCATGTTCATTGCTTGATTGGATGTCATGTGTGTTTATACCATTTTCCTTTCCTAATATTTCCTCTCACGTAAAGCATAGCTAGCATTAGAGATGTATTATATCCATCTAAAAGAGTTTCAGAGTTATATTGTTCTTCTTGCATTCCTTATAGGGGAGAGTTATTTTGTTCCAAATGGTCATTTTACTTCAGCTTATTTTTAAATATTATTTTATTATATTGATACAAGGTCGCTTTAGTCCTTTTGAACAGATAGGTCCTTGTTTGGGTGTTTTTACCACACAAAGGAGGTATATGACTGTATAAATAGCACATGGGTTTTGTTTTTTTGTTGCACAGAACAAATGGATTGGGACTTTTTCAATTCATGTGGCTATAACCGACAGATAACAGTCCTTCAGCGGACTAAAGAATCTCAAAAGCCAATGTGACATTGCCTTATAACTTGTTAGCATTTCGAAGAGCTCGGTTAACAGTGGAACATTTTCTGTGTCTTCCAAAGATGGAAGATGGAAGCTCCTGAATGGGAAAAAGAGAAAATTAAGATAGGAGACCAACTCTCAACACAAGTATATATTTGTAAACAATATGAGTTACAATTAATTTGTGAACAACATGAGATACAAGAAATTAGCTGGACAATTTATGAATTTTAAAAAGGAAAATATCAAATGCAAAAATTTAATTTTCAAAGTGTGGTATTTGACCTCGAAATGCTGCATAAGGAACAACTAATTCGATAATTCCCAAAATGAGCAGAGTTGACTCTGAAGCAAGACATCAAAAAAGCAGATTAAACAAATTGATCAACCCCACATCCTGAATTAAGGTCTTATATATATATTTCTAATAAATGTAGGCACAAAATTTAACATTGAATTTGCTTTTTTTTTTATTTTTTATTTTTATTTTTTTTAATTAAAAGGGTAAACTTGTATAAAAAGGAAGAGAATGTACATGGGGTCCCAAAGAGGACAACACAAAAAGCCAAGAGGCAACAAAGCAGCACAAGGCTAAGCAAACATAAAGGACATGAAATCAAACATAGTGAACAAAGTACAAAACCAGAGTGAACAAGTGCACAGATCAGAGGCATAGTCAACCACCATACAATGTAGTTCCAAAATTAGCTTAGGAGTGACTGGGCAGTTGCAAAGCTGCATCCCCGCATGAACAGAGGTTGGAGGTCCTCCCATTTGGTAATCTTCTTGAGGTCAGCAGAGCCTCGATCTGGTGCACTTCCTGATTTGCTCAATGATCTGATGTGAGGTGGATAACCTATTTCTAAAGGCCCTTCAATTCCTTACCAACCAAATGAAATAAACAGCAGCTGAGAGGAGTAACGTGTGGACCAAAAATCTTTTTGAACACCAGTTGGAGGTACACCAAGCAATCAGATCATGCCAGCTACTAGGCCTGATGTAGAACCCTTCACAATGTTGAATGTAACACCAAATATCCTTTGAAAACTTACACTTAAAGAAGAGGTGATCATCCATTGACTCCTCACTGGCTAGACAAAGGTAACAGGTATTAGTTTAGTGCTTATGTAACATTGGTTTAGAATCCAATGTATACATCCTTCCTCTGAGATCGAGCAAGCCAAGCAACGAAACCATGCTTGGGAACATGGTGCTTAAACCAGATGATACGCTGCCATGGGAATGTTGGTAAACAAGGTATTCGAGGGAATGTTGGGACAGACCGTAGTGGTTACAATTTCTCTTCGATTAGCAGCACAAAATTTGTTCAATTCTATTACTCCAAAATGTATTGCGTTTTTAGTGGTTGGTTTCACGTCTCTTCATTACACGCGAAAGAGAAATTACTTAATATGTAAAAGGGTTCAAAGATAAGAAAATGGTTTTTTTATTTTTATTTTATTTTATTTTATTTTTGGCTAAAAGGTAAGCTTGTGTAAAAATATTGTACAAAATGTACAAGAAGTCCCAATTATAGAGGGGACAACAAAATATGAAACAAAACATCCAACAACACCCTCACATAGGACATTGTACCCAAGTTCAAGTAGCAGCAACCTACAAAGTTGTAGCCTCAGCCAAAGCAGAAGAAATGCAGACAAACACTTGACAATCAAACACCATTAACTCTATATCCATCCATGAGTGCCACTCCACCCTTGTCAAACAAGCAGCAACATACATTGCAACCCATGTTAGCAACCAGCTTTGAGCACAGGAGGTAGAACAGGCCTGCAGAAAGAGGCTATAGAGCTCTTGTTCTATGGAAATAAGACTCAAATCTGAGGACCTTCTTAGGTTGATTGAAGCTAGCTTTGCTCTGGTGCAAGACTTAATCTGAGAGATTATGTGCTGTGGAGGTGCTTCAATATTTCTGAAAACCCTTGCATTCTTTTCCTGCCAAAGAATGTAGACTGCAACAGCCAATAGGAGCTTGTGTGTCAAAAAGCTTTGAGAGTTCCAATGATTTGAACACCACTTTACCAGGTCAGACCAGCAGTTAGGGAGGATGTAAAAGCCTGCAATGTGTTGTATGAATCTCCAAACTTGTGAACTGTAAGGACAATTGAAGAACAAGTGATCCATGGATTCACAATCTGTGCAACACAAAAACATCTATTGACATAATGCTGATTGAGCATTGGCTTGGAGTCAAAAGTGTAGAGCCTTCCTCTCACAGCAAGCCAGAGAATACAGCCGTGTTTGGGTACATTGTGCTTGAACCAAACCAAATGCTTCCATGCAAATGAAGGAGATGGGGGAGTGAAGTAAGACATGGTGTGAGAAAATGAATACTCTTCTGTGGGGCAAGGCAGAGGTGGAGCCAGGATTGTATCTGGGGGGGGGGGGGGGGGGGGGGTTGGGAAAAAAAAAAAAAAAACCAACTAACATGGCATACATAATTTTTTTCACATCAAAAGGCAAACAATAAAAACAAAAAATTATAGCAAAATCACAAAATTTTTAACGAGCAGTTTTATATTCTTGATCTAATTCATGTGATAGATTCATAAGAAGTTGTGAACACAACAGAACTAAATTGAAATTACTAAAATAGATGGTAAATTCATTTGAACAAAACAAAACTTGAGTCTTCATATTCTATAAAAAAAAATTGAGTGTCTTACTTGCAAATTTAGAGAGAAAAAACCTGCAAATTGAGAGGTGAGTCGGTGATAGATTGACAGCAAAATAGAAGATTCATTCTGATTTCTATCTCTATCTTTCGATTCTCACCTTCCAATTTAAAATGAAATTGAAAAATGGAGCAAAGACAAGGGCGGAGAGAGCATGAATATTTTATACAAAACCTCACTGTTTTTTTTTTTCAACTACAAATTAAACTTCATTATTATTTTTTTCACCCCTCAAATACACCAGTAACAATTGTCTTCCACTTTAGACTTTAGCCCTACACATAAAACACTACTAAACATTATCTTCCCCTTTAGCCCTTGCAAATTCTAACATGTTTTCACTTTAACTTTTCTTTTTAGTTAGTTTTAGTATTTTTGAGGGGGGGGCATTTTTGAACTTTCAAAGCCAAATGCATATAACAATATTGGAAAAAAAATATTTCAGGAGGGGCATGTGCCCCCCTTGGGCACATGCTCCCTCCGCCCCTGGGGCAAGGCAACCATACAATGCTGTTACTATCAGAGGATGGTGAAGGCAAGGAATGAAGCTGTTCAAGGAAGACCTGTGATTGGAAGAAGTGTGTGTACTGAACTGAGGGTGGTATTAGCCAATGATTTGTGGAAATTAGACTATCAATTGTGACAAGGCTGTCCAGTTGAAGAATTTCTATATCATTTAGGCCAAGTTGATTGACAATAGGTCCATTAGGTAACTAAAAGTCCATCCATAAACTGACACAAGCTCCATTCCCAAACTTATGTCTTATGATACCTCTAGCCATACCCCTTAACCTAAGGAGCTTCCTCCAAAACCCTGAGCTTAGAGCTGTTGACCTCACTGTCCAAACACTCTTAGCCCTCAAAAGGTAGCTGTAACACCAAGCCACCCACAAACTTTCCTTTCTCAAACAAAGCTTCCACAAGTGCTTCAAATTGGCAATGATGTTAGAGAGCTCAAGGTCTCGAAACCCCGAACCCCCATGAATTTTGGGCCTGCAGACAGCTTGCCAAGCAACTTTGGCTCCACTTTTCTTGAGATCAACCCCAGACCAGAAAAATCTCATCAAGATTTGGTTGATTTGGTCAAATACCTTCTTTGGGAGAACAAAAGCTTGTGACTAGTATGATTGTGTGGAGCACAAAACCAGCATAAGATAAGAAAATGTTGATTATACTCCGACATCTCATAATTTTTTGGAATGACCAATAATTTTTTTGTGTTGTGCTTACATTTGTAACATGTAGCATTCTTTGTAGTTGTTTTCATTTCCCTCCACAAGAAGCAAATGAAAAACTATTTTTTGGGTACACGTAAAAAGGTCCTAAGACAAGTAGTATCATTATAGTCCAATATCTCATAATTTTTCATAATAACTAATAAATTTTTGTGTTGCGCAAGCATTCGTAACATGTCACATTCTTAATTGTTGGCTTCAATATTTCTTTCCACGAGTAGATGAAAATTTACTTTTTAGGTACACATAAAAAGTTGAAAGACAGAAAAATATTATTCTAGCTACTATGATATTTCACATCTTTATTAGCATGGACCAGTGACCATAAACCAACTTGGAGTATTTTGTTAGAATTTAGTTTGTAATCTATTTGAATTTGAATTGCCTTATAATTGATTACATCGCTCGCACAATGGAAGGTAGAAATTTTTCATTAATTGAAGCAATGGAAGGTAGAAAATTTTCAATAATTGAAGCATTATTGTTTAGATTTTGATATTATTCCAAATAATTCCTCTTTTCTTAATTGAGGTAGGAAAGAACAGAACAACTTTTCTAGCTAGATGGTGAAAAATATTTCAAATTCTATCATCCCAAACAGTCCTTAGGACATATTTTTGATCTATATTCTT